ACAAGTAAGAACATATTAAAAACAACAACAAAAAACCAAACAACAGAAAACTGACTCATAGACATAGACTAACAGTATAATGGTTACCACAGGGAAGGGGAAGAAGGGTAGCAAAGGGTATAAGGAGCCAAATATATGGTGACAGAAGATGATTTGACTTTGGGTGGTTGGCATACCATGCAATATATAGATCAAAGAAATGTACACTTGAAATCTATATAATCTTATTAAGCAATGTCGCCCCAATAAATTTAAAGATGAACTCATATAACTCAACAACCACCACCAAACAATCCATTTAAAAAATTGGCAGAAGACCTGAATAAACATTTTTCCAAAGAGGACATAAAAATGTCCAGTAGACATATAAAAAGATGCTCAGTATCACTCATCATCAGAGCAATGCAAATTAAAACCAAAGTGATAACCTCACATCTCTTAGACTGGGTATCATCGATAAATCAAATGACAAGTGTTGTTGACAAAGATGTGGAGAAAAGGCAACCATGGTGCACTGTTAGTGAGAATGCATATTGGTGCAGCCACTATGAAAAACAGTAATTTCCGCAAAATATTAAAAATAAAACTGCTTTATGACACAGTGTTTCCACTTTTGGGTATATATCTGAAAAAATCCAAAATACAAGTTCAAAAAAATATATGTAACTGTTAATTGCAGCATTGTTTACAATAGCCAAGCTATAGAAGCAATCCAAGTGTCCCTCAGAAGAGTGGATGAAAGAAGCTGTTACATGAATTAATATTCCATTGTATTGGCCATAAGAAAGAATGAAATCTTGCCATTTACGCCAGCATGGATGGACCTAGAGGGTATTATACTAAGTAAAATAAGAGTCAGGTAGAGCCAAATGCCATAAGATTTCACTTACATGTGGAATCTAAAGAAGAAAATTAAGAGAACCAGCAAAATGGAAAACAGACTCATAGACACAAAGAGAGAACTGGTGGTTAACAGAGGGGAGTGGGTCGAAGGCACCGGGTGAAAGATGTGAAGGGACTAAGAAGCACAAATTGGTAGTTACAAAAAAGTCATGGGGATGTAAATAAAGCATATGGAATAAAGTCAATAATATTGTGATAACTATGTATGGTGCCAGTTGGGATATTGGAAATATCACAAGGATATAAAGTATATGATTGTCTAACCATGAGGCTATACACCTGAAACCAGTACAAAATAAAATTGAAAAGCTGGTAAAATAAATAAAACAACATTCTGTATAGAATGTGATTATTAACATCTAATATTATGTCCAAAGAATCTTCAGTGTACTGGGGTGAGGAGGATAGAACAAATGATTCACTGCACAATTAAAACTGCCTTCAAGTTTTGTGAATTACACTAAAAATTAATGCAAGCCTTGCTCATCAATACATTGGTATTTTTTATTATAAAAATATTTTTAATTCACATGGAATAAATGGTGGTGGTCTAAAAAGATATGCTATGTTCCTCACTTATCCCTTGGCACACTCCTAAATATCTTTGAGTTAGAATAGACCAACATTTTTAGATATTTTTGAATAGACCAATATTTTTAGATATATCAATAGCAAAAACAAAAGTTTGCTAAAATTATCTTATTTTAATTATTTTCAGTTTATACTTATAAAATATTGTGAAGTCATCACACAAGATAAATGCCTGATCAATTTGGTTTTGTAAATTAATCAAAATTGGTTCTATGTATAACATTTACAAAATGTAGTGCTTAGACTATGGTTTTCAATTATAAATTAGCTTTGGTCAAAGCAATAATAACAATATTTCCTAACATAAATGTAAATTACTTTATCAACCAAGTAGTTGCTCAAAACAATTACTGCTTAAATTTCATTGTCTTATACTTTATATATATATATTGCAACTAGTGAATAGGGAAGGTACTTTAAAAATAAGATATTTTTAGTTTCCCTAGCTTATCCTAAACCTGCTTATATTTTATAGGCCATTTTTTTCTGACTCTACAATCTAATTGTCACTATGTACAAATTCTTGTTTATCAGACGTTTTTTAATTTTCAAGAATTTGTTTTATATATATATTCTTTTTCTATTTATTTTTGTTACAGATGTTAGACTTTTTTTCTTTTCAATATCTTCCATTTGTAACAAATTTTCAATCTCTATGTTTTTTATGAATAAATCAATGAAAGATTTGACCTTAATCATATCAGTCATGATAACAGTGAACTCAACCCACAAACAGCCTTTTTTTTGGTGACATTCACTGTTTTCATTCACACCTGCCTCAGTTTTTCCTCCCTGACCTTGACATTAGTTACTCTTTAACAACAAATTTGAGGTATTTTTCCTTTTACTGACTCTGTAAAAGTCTTTAGTAATTATTAACTTAAAGATCTTGAAATATATCTACTTAAAATTGTGAAGAAAATGTAGTAATTTACAATCAAGTTATTCCAGTTTCTGCTTAGAATTCTAAATACATTCACTCAATAAAAATTATTTTTAAATATCACCTATTATGGGCAAAGCACTCTTCTGGGTACCAGGATTACCAAGATGTGTAAGCCTCTGCCCAAAAAGAGATGGCAGTCTAGTAGTTTCCAATAGAGATGCTCAAATATACAGAAGTAACTCCTTTGAACATTTTCTATTAAATATACTTAATCACAGTCTTAAAATTAAACCATTTTCTTCTGGCATACATAATATTAAATATCACATCACCCGTGAAAAGTTAATGCAGAACATTACTTTGAAAGAGACTAAGCTCTAAATGCAAAAATATATAAAATGGCAGTACCCAAAACAATGACTATATTTAAACCACAATTTACAAACAAAATATACAGTTGAAAATATATCCGAATATCTTGCTAAAAAATAATCTACCCATTAATGCACTAAATATAAATGTATTTTAATTAACAATGTAATTTTTAAAGCACAGAACTTACAAAAACACTGGTCTGAAAAAGGTCTTTTCTGTAGACTTTTTATTAAAGAGTAAGAAACTATGCAAAGATAAATCCAAATATCCCAGGAGGGAAAAGTTGAGCCAGAATAAACTAAAACAAAACAGCATAACTCAAAAATTATGGAAAGAGAAAGAACCTGGCTTCTTAATTTATCACATAACACTGCACATTTTTGCAAAATGTTTTGAGGGGGTAGTGCTTTTGTGGTTTTAGCAAGGTATCATGTAACAAAACAAATGAAGTCATTATGTTGAAAATATTTCTATGTTACTTATTTTAGTGGAATGGAGTTTTGCCCTAAAATAATTCCTATCACTCAAAGTAATCCTTAAACATGATATATAAAATGAAAGGCCTTATAAAATTAATCAGATCTATTATTTAATCTTTAGGTAAAAGTAACCAATGACTTATCCTTCCCATAATATCCCTTCTCAATATTATCACTTTACGGTTTTGGCAACTTTAATTTAGAAGGATATATCCTAAGAGTCATTTATGTAGTTTTTTGTTTGTTTGGGTAGAAGAATCCATCAAAGTAGATATTCCATAACTCTTTTTTGTTAATAAATTGGCTCAAGTCACATTTTTAGCCCAGAACATTTTTGGTTGTACTTTCGCAGAAAATGTAAAATCATTAGTTCTGTGGCTGTAAAAGTGTCTGCTACCTTTTGAATATGATTTTTAGTACCATCTTATTACTTCATAAAGAATGCAGAATATATCTTTACATTTGACCTTCTCAGAGTAAAGAAATATGCTTTAGTTAAAGCTAATTTGCTAAATATTAGCTCAGAAATTTTAAAGGGGATTCTACTTAACATTAAATGTTTTTTTTTTTTTGTAGTTATAAACTCATAATTCTAACCTTTGGCTTTTCTGCTATACTATTTCTGAATAGGAATAAAACATACTCTTTCATTTGGATGATATTGATATAGATACTTAACCAACAAATTTTCAAATCAACCTGCCACTGACCATGAACTATTGCATAAGTTTTTTTCTTTTTATCACTTGCACTATCTAAAATATTCAATAATGGTTATTTGCACATTGTATGAAAACTTTTTAATAAAATTTTATTCAAAGCATTAGGAAAATCATATTCAAAACACAGAAACAATCAGACTATAACAATGCTGCATAAACAGTGGTATACAAGTTCCCTGATGCTTAGTGACTTTTTCCTAACTAAAACTTCAGTTTTCAAATCAAATAAAAAATGGTGGGGACATTATTTCGTGTCTCTGAGACCAGAAAAATGGCTTTGATGGTGAGAAGTGATGCCATTAAAACATCAAAGATTAGATTATCCCCAGTTCAATTATATTTCCTTGTTACATCCCAGAGATAAAAATTTAGAATGTAAGAATTATCAGAAGGAAATAGGAGGTAAATTACCTCAGAGGATACCTGATCAGTGCTTGCTTCAATTAGACAAAACACTAAATTAAGTTTTAAAACTAACAACTTCACCATTATGCTTATCTAAAATTGTTAATATGAATATATTTTTACATAACATATAACATGTATACAAAAAAAAAAAAAAAAAAATTGACCCGCTTCCAATTCTTTCACCTTCAGTAAAAAAAAAAAAAAAAAAGGTAAAATGTTATCACCAATGGAGAATTGAAAAATAATTTTCAAGGAGGAACTGTAACTTTATAGAGATCAAAATAATTTCTGAATACTGAAAATAGCCTAAATCAGTAAGAAATTGCTAAACTTATAAGATTACTTTTTGAAAAGGAAGACAATTTATTTGGAAGAAATATGTAGTTGAAAACATTGTTCATTAAAAAAAACATGGCTGTCTGGCCAATGTGGTTCAGTGGTTGAGCATCGACCCAAGCACCAAATGGTCACCTGTTCGATTCCCAGGCAGGGCACATGCCCAAGTTGTGGGCCAAATTCCCAGTGGGGGGCATTAAGGAGATGGCCAATCGATGCCTCTCACACTGATGTTTCTCTCTCTCCCTCTCCCTTCCTGTCTCTAAAATCCATAAAGAAAAAAAAATTAAAAAACAAAACAAAACATGGTTATCTTGAAAAAAAGACTCTGCCAGTACTTTCAGAGGCCCCCAACAATTCAGGAAGGAGTAACTTTTAGGCTCTAGCCTCTTATAGTTACCTACATTAAAAAAAAAAATGTTTTGATCTAAAAAGTGATTTGTGCTAGATCACAACCAAGACACCTACATGTGATGAACTATAAGCAAATTTTGTATGCATTTCAGGTAGAGTTTCTTCTTTCCTAAGAAGAGAGTTTGTCATTTTTCAAATGGTCTTAGACACAAACCTACTTCACAAAATAATCTTCTGTATGTAAATTAGTAGTTTTCTTATAATGGTAAACAAATTGGTTGGTCTACATTCTCTAGTCTATGCCTACAAAATAAGGCATGAGTAATTCTTCACTAGCCACTGCAAAGCATAGATAAGTGTTTTCTTTCTAAAGCAAACATTTCTCAAAGTGCACTGTTATTTTTAACATCTCTTATGCATTTACAGTCAGAATTTTTGAATCTCTACATACTTTTAGTATAAAAGAATGGGAATTCCCAACTACTTACATACCATAATTACTTGAGAAAAGACAAAGTGAGAGCAGCTACAGATGCAGCAGTATACGTATTTTTCACAAATAAGAATATAACATACAAAGAAATGTCAAATTAGTGATAACTGGTAATATCAACTCAATATTATCCTACTTTGGCCTCCAAATTAAGATTTGACAAGTTTGAAGCCTTGTCCTGTGTCCAGCACAGTAGGAAGAAACCAGCTCATTTTTAATCTTTTCAAGCACCTAAAACAACTTTGGCAGATCCAAAAAAGGTTCAGACCACACAACCAATTTGCCAAATGTACAAGTGGATATGTAATGCGAGGAAAGTGTAACATCCAATGCTTGGCCACATCACTTCCCGTTGGCAAATGCAGAGTGTAGTCACTCCACTGTTTTGACACACCATATACCGCTTTCACTGTGCGTCCCTTTTCAGTCCAGCAGATGTTATTATTGGAGTTGCAATTATATTCCACCCAGTCTTTTGTAAAGTCACCCAGCTGTGGTGGGTCAACTTCTTCAATATCTATTGTCTTTATCATCTCTGCTCCTTGTACTGCAATATATTGGTCATTAATTTTTCTTACTTCTTTCACCCAAGGGGTTGAATTCTCACTGTCTAATACAATAATAAGTCGGGAACAGAAGGAACCATTCTTTTCTCTCCACCATTCTAAAAGTGTGTCAAGGCGTAGTACGTCTCCACCTACAAACAAAAGAAAATTCAATTAAGTACTAATTTCTGAAGCTTCTTAATAAGAATACTCTTTTGCCTTAAGTGTATTTTCTTTAAATTCTTGGAATTAAATATGTGTGAAGAAAAATAGAGCCTTCTTTTCAAAGTATCTTTTCAGAAGGTTTTTTAAAAACAAACTTTCAAGTTCAGGTTTTCAATCATCCTTATTATTCACATAAAAATGGGATATGCTATAATAAATAATTTAAAATAATTGTTTTATGAAGTTAAATTTGGTGAAAAAAAATGAATTATAAAGGAAAGCTTATACTCCACATCAAAAACAGCAAATATGGCTCATAGTCCAAATCCAGCCCATTACTTGTTCTGGTAATAGACTGAGAACTGGGAATTGATTTCATATTTTTACATGGTTGAAAACAAAAACAAACAAAATCCAGTATTTTGTGACATGGAGAAATTATAGGAAATTTACTTTCATATAATTGTTTCCATAAATAACACTCATTTGCATTCTGTGTATTGGCTGCTTTTCAACTACAGAGGCAGAGATGATTAGTTCCAATAGGGATCTTATGGCCCACAAAGCCAAAAATATCTAACCCTTTTCAGAAAAAAATTTGCCAACCCTGTTGTACACCACTCAAAAAAAAAGAAAAAGAAATAAAGTTACTTATCTTCGTATGTAGTTAGCTACTAAATAAAAAAGAAACTCTTCCTCTTTGTACCAAGAATGAGTTTCTTTTTATACATGTAAAACAACAAAAAATTAAAAATAGTTCATTCAGAAAGGTCTAAAGTAAATAAATTTGACCTAGAAACTTGTCTTCTAGCTAACAGGCTTCCCATTTGGTTCACTGTGAATAGTTTCTTTTGCACTAATTTTGATTTTTAAATGTTACATTAAAATATTATTTTGATTATTTGATTTTTGGCACCCTATTAAATTTTATGTGTGAGACAACTACTATCCTAACCTCACCCTTTTCCTGGCTCTGTCTGACACAATCATCCCAATTCTAGATATTTATCCTAAGAAAGGAGCAGGTATTGGGGCAAATAATTATATATAAAGATTTTCTCCCCTTTGCTATCTAAAATAGTATAAAATCTGAAACAACCAGGGGAATGAAAACAGATTATGATAAAACCTAATGAAGTTTACAGTAAAATGATATTTAAAAAAATATGTTTTATTGCTTTTTTTAGAGCAATAGAAACATCGATGTGAGAAGCACCTCCTGCACACCCGCTACTGGGGATTGAGCCCACAACCTGGGCATGTGCCTTGACAGAAATCAAACCAGGACCTCTCAGTCCATGGGACAATGCTCAATTCACTGAGCCACACCAGCCAGGTTATAGTAAAATGGTATTTATGAAGACATTTTAATGATGAGAAAATTATCTATAAATGTAGGATAAAAAGTATGACACGAAAATATATCTACAAAAATAATCGTGGTTATGTTAGGTGTTTGGATTTTAGGTGGCTTTGTTATTTTCTTATATTTTCCTTTTTTTTTACATTGAGTATGTTACTTTTATAATTAGAAAAATTAACATGCTACAATTTACTAACACAAGATATAATTAAGAACATTTCTACCAAGAGTTTGAGACCCGGGTGTGGTTTCCGCTAAGGGCACGTATCTCGGTTGCAGTTTGTCCCTGGCCCTGTTTGGATTATGCGTGTGGCAACCACTAAATGTGTCCCTTTCATGTCGATGTTTCTCTCTCTCTCTCTCCCTCCCACTCTATCTGAACAAAATATGGGAAAGTGTCGAGTGAAGATAAAAAAAAAAAAGAAAGAAAAATGTTTATATTACTAAATCCTTCACATAAACACAAGCACTTTTAAAATTACTTTCTTGTAACACTAAAAAGAACCAAGGATCGCCTGGCCAGTGTGGCTCAGTTGGTTGAGCATCACTCCATGGACCAAGAGGTCACCAGTTCAATTCCCAGTCGGGGCACATGCCTAGGTTGTGGGCTTGATCTCCAGTGGGGATGTGCAGGAGGCAGCTGATCGATGTTTCTGTCTCACATTGATGTTTCTATCTCTCTCCCTCTCCCTTCTCTCTCTAAAAAAATAAATGAAAACTTATTAAAAAAATAACCAAGAATTTATATATGACCATCAAAATATGCCTTCCCTCCATTTCATTTGGAAATAGTTTATCTCTGTTTATATATCTGAAATTCTACTTCTCTAGAGATTTTCTTTTTAATCCTCACCCGAGGATTTTTTTCCATTTATCTTCAGATAGAGGAGGGAGAGAAAGAGGGAAAAGGAGACAGAGGGAGAGGGAGAGAGAGAGAGAGAGAGACATCTATGTGAGAGATATATGTCGATTGGTTGCAGCCAGGGCCGGGGACCTAACCACAACCAGAATGAAACCTGCGACTCTTTGGTCCACAGGCTGATGTTCAAACCACTGAGCCAAACTGGCCAGAGCTCTAAAGATTTTAAAATTTACTACAACATTTTCTGTTGTGCTCTAAAGCAAAGTACACAGAATTCTACTCTTTACCTGGAATTAAAGTAGCCATAAAGGTTAAAAAGTCATTTCCTATTTTGAGTTATTAAAAAGTTAAGGTCAGGAATACAATTTTATAAATTACATTCAAGTATTTTTAATGTTGACTACCTTCTATATTGTAATGATTTGAAAATGTCACCGGTGAACCATGCTAACAAAAACATCTACTTATCCAGAATATGCCATCTCTCTACCTTCATAGTTTTTGCCTTTGGCAGCAACTTGGTACAAGGGGGAAAGTATACTCTAGGAGTCAGGCAGATCTGAGCTTGAATTATGGTTCCTCACTTATCAGTAGTATGAGCAATAGATAAGTTATGTAACCACTTTTAGCTTTCATTTTATCCTTTTTAAAATGTCAATGATAGACTATTTATATCAAAAAATTTCAAGTGAAGATTAAATCTAATGTGTACAAAGTAGCAAGCATAGTAGCTGTGCTTAAAATGTACCCAATATAGTTTGCCATTACTCCTAGATAGCCATTGAGTTGTTCTGTATTTATTTACACAAACAAAAAGTTACAAAAACAGTTTTCTTTTTGATAAATCCTTGCTTATAAATCTGGCATGAAATTAGTGAGACCAAGGGGTTTAAAATAATTTCTACTTGAACATAGAATTTGTTTCCTTCCTTCTGGAGTTTGTATATTGGCAGCTCTGCCTCTGTCCTTCTACAATACTTTTGTTTATAGTTTTCTGATTTGAGTATCTGTCTCTACTTATATTTTATGACTTTTATTTTTTGTATGGATCTTTGGGATAAATGAAACTATTTTATGAATAAAAGCGGAATATAATTTTACCTAAAAACTATTTCTAACCTAAAGTAAACAAATTACCTTTTTTATCATGATTCATTCAGTGATTTTATCCAACTACCAATTACTTAAGGAACCCTATTGTGTGCCAGGCTCTGTTCTAGATGCTACGCAAATAATTCATAAAACAAAGCCCTTGACTTACAGGGTGTTTATTCTAGTTGGTGAGAGCAACAAACAAATTTATATATAATATAGAGAGATCTCATTCCCCCTTGGCAGGGAAATTTAATATCACCCCTTCATTTTACAGATGAGAGAATCAAAGTCAAGAGAAGTTAAGTAACTTGCTTTAAGTTAAGAGGTTAATATCTTTAAACCAAGGTCTCCTGACCTAAATGCTTTTTCACTATATCACATCACCTGCTGTTTAACACTTTGTGGAGCTTTCTAACATAAATAAAACTGTACATGTAAAAGAGTACTCAAGTCAGCATTCGTAACATTTAGAGACTTAAAAGTACTAGTCAAATTAGTTAATCAGCTTCTGAAAAGTGTTACTATAATAATTCTGAAAATATTTTAAAGGGAAACTGATTATAAGTTTCAACATCTGTTTGATATTTTCTTCCAATAAATATTAAGACATAATTCTCAAAACCTTTGGAGATTAATAAATTATTCTATACAGGTATGCTAGAGAAAAGAAAAAAAGTCATATGTATACTTGGTAAATTGTAAAGTGGAAAATTGAGAAGTCTGAAAATTTAACGTTTCCCTGTGAAGGACAGTTTTCCACATTAGGTGTATTTTCACATTAGTGAAATTGCCAGAGGTGGCTTTACCTGCAAGAGCCCACTCTCCTGTACCATGAGTGTGCCCACTGTAATACAAAACATATGTATCATGTCTAGGTCCATCGACAGTCCGAAGTTCAAGAAAAGCTTTCAGTTTGGAATGTAGAGTATCAAAAGACAGTCCACTTGTGGAATAGTCACATCCATAGGTCTCAATCATATGATATGCAAAAAATCTTTGGATAGCATTTAGCATGCCAGTAGACCTCAAATTTAACTCCTGTACATGTTCTGGTGGAAGAAGTGTTGGCTGGCCATCAGGACTGAAGAAAGATAAAAAAATATTACTTTAGTGTTTAAGAAGCATTCAATGTCATATTTTTATCCTTTATTTATAATTAAGGATCTAAGAGTCATAACAGTTGCTAACTAAATGGCAGGATTAAAAAAAATCATTGTTTTAAAATTCCTGGTGCTAAGAATTAAGCTTTAAAATCAAAGCCTTCTTTCTAAAAATTTTATTTCTTATCAATAAAGCAATAACCAAACTAAAGTAGGAGAATAGTATCTTCAAATGTAGACAGCACTACCCTCTGTTATTTATTCATATAGTCTCACCAAATAATTGGTATTGGACATTTTAAAAGCAAAATTATACTAATTTTACCCTCAATGTGTTTCAAGAACATGGGTGAGGACTTTAATAAAAACTTTTCTTTCTTGAGAAAAAAGTTAATAAAGCATGTAAGAGATATTTTAAATTATATATTAATTTAATTTCTATACTAAAAGGAGTCTTTATAAGGTTGTGTTCAAGTTCTACTAACCTAAGTTACATAAATTATGGAAGAAATTACCTATTAGTAAGTGGCATTTAAAAACAATTATTAAAATTTAGGTCCATTGCCAAATCCTACTAAATACTAATTGAAGACCTAGATTTTTTCCTGGAACAATTATAAAATGATACTGTAGTACAGATGATAAACCAAGTCCTATAACTAGCGGAATCAAAATGCTATCAATATTGAAGGGGAAAAAAATTCATCAATCCTTTCCAGAAAAGGAATTTCTGCCAGGAATTTTGAAAACTACATTTTGCTTCAAATATTATCAATAACTATTCAAATAGTACTTTAGTTTTCATTACAGAAATAAAACATTTTGTGCCATACTTATATCATTTTAAAATGACAAAAAAGTAAAAAGACATGCATAAACAAAAACTATAACAGAATAAAAATCTAACCATGCAAATTATTTTTTCCACATATTCTATCTGCAAGTTGTCACAGCTTACTTTATAGGACCCTTCTAAATCAATGTATTTTATTTCTCATTAGGATCTTCAACTTTTTATTAAGTCTTTAACATGGAAGGAAATATTTAATACAAATAGACTATTTGCGGTTTTTATGTCAAATATTTGAAATAAGATAAAAACTTTTTGATTTCAAGTTCCTCTCACCCCAAGGGAAGTATGATGAATACTTGCTCATCAGAATGAATTAATGACAAAGAACTCATTTTTTCTATTTCAAAAGTACTTAATTAAATAAAAGAACAATTAAAATGTGGCAATATTTACAGATTCAGACATATCTATCACATATTCGGGATAAAAAATTATTTTGAAATAAAACTACAATAAATTATATATATACACATACAGAAATATATATTTATACACAAACACACACAATCTTTTGAATTCTTGGTATTCGTATATTTTCCAGTGGATATAGTATTTCTATATTCATATTTTCTTTAGCTCTTCATAATATTCATCTGAGATGGAGAATAGGTACCATCATTTGCATTTTAGAAACAGACACTCAAGTTCAGAGAAGTTATGATTTGCCTAAGGTAATACAGAACTAGGATTCAGGACTCTCAGGTCTTGTGTACATTATATTATTATTTTTTAATTAATTTATTTTATCCTCACCTGAGGACATTTTTTCACTTTTTGGTCAGATAGAGTGGGAGGGAGAGAGAGGAAAAGAGAGAGAGAAAAACAATGACGTGTACAGGTACACATCGAGTGGCTGCCACCCACACGACCCAACCAGGGCCAGGGACAAACTGAAACTGAGATACGTGCCTTTAGTGAGAACTGAACCCGGGTCTCTCTGGACCGCAGGCCAAACCTCTAACCACTGAGCCAACCCGGCCAGGGCCATTATATTATTTTTTACCATGCTGTTTCACAGGACATTTTCTTAAACAAGATATTCCTTTTCCTTTAAAAAATTTTTTTTCTTTATTGATTTTTAGAGAGAGGAAGGGAGAGGGAAAGAAAGATAGAAACTTCCATGAGAGAGAACATCGATTGGCTGCCTCCTGCATGCCCCACACTGGGCATCTGGCCCACAACCTGGGCATGTGTCCTGACCAGGAATCATACCAATGACCTCTTGGCGCATGGGTCGAAGTTCAACCACTGGTCCACACCAGCTGGGCAAGATATCCCTTTATAAAGAAAGTAGTTTGTTTCCTTAAAATGCAATCATATTTCCCAATTTCTAGCTAAAATATAAGCTAATCATTTGTAACACAAATTTAAATTGAACCCTGAAAATCATAATTTTACTGAGAATAAAGGCTTTTAAACATTTGGAATAAATAAAAAATGGAACAGTATTATATTTTTAACATACTATAGTTTTGAAAAAAAGGAACTATATTTTATATTTATTGTCATACAAATATTAAGAAAATGGTGAGTCAAGTAGTTATTACTAATTAATTATTACATTCTAGATTACTGTACCTGCAGAAGTTGGTAGGAATCACAATAGCATATCCAACAGATGTTCCTCCTAAACAATTACCCAATTCATGGAAAAGCCCATGAGCCATGGATTCCAATGGCAAAACAATTAGAAACATGCTCAAGAAGATTCCATTTGTTGGCTAAAAGAAATTTAAAACATAATGTTTACATTGTGCAATTGCATTTATGTGTACATATGTATATATATTTATATATGTATATACATATTTACTTACATTTTTGGCCACTTCTTCCAAAAAAAAAAAGAACAATTAATGATCTAAAATAATTATAAGTTGAAGCAGACAAGAATACATGAATGAGCAATGAACCCTAAAATTATCTCTAAGGTTCTTGGAAGTTGTGGGAACAAATATAGCATATATATAAATTTGTCAGATAACATCCCACTCAAAGTAAACAAAACAAAAACATATAACTTGAAAAAGTTAACTTTATATAACTTAGAAAAAGTCAGAAAATAAATCCTTTGTCGTTAAGACCCATTTGCCCTAAGTTATTTTTCAAATAACACACTCATTTAATTTATCAGAAAATATACTTTAGAAAGTGATCCTTGAGGAAGATGGCCGCAGGCAGGACCGAAGAGAGGGTGAGTGTGTGAGAGAGTGAGTGAGTGTGTGAAGGAGTGTGAGTGGACTTCAAGGTGGATGAATAAATAACCTGAGCAGTGCATAGATGCAGAGCAGAAATTTCCTGTGCTGTGGACTAGAGTAGATGGCTACCATGGTAAGCGGCACTTAATGGTGCTTCTCCCTGCGCCTGGGGGAGGTCCCACCATTTTGGAAGTTCCTGGTCTTCCCTGAGAGGAGACAGGGGGAGTGGCTAGGGCCCAGCAATCTGAGCCCACCAGCGCGCCTGGCACCATCAAACCAGTGGACACTGTGTGAATACAGACCAGTGTGTAGTAGTGGAGCTCCCAAGGTGCCAGTCATGGAAGCTGCAAACAGCGCAGAGCCCCCATAGTAGCAGCCTGATCAGAGTCGAGATATATTCCAAGCAATGAAGGCTAGGAAGCAGATATACATCCCCAGGCAACAAAAGCACAGACCAGCAGCTGATACCCATCCCCAAAAATTGCAGCAAAAGTTGAGCAGGAGTTGAGCCCCAATGCACAGCAGCACTCTCCAGCCACCTGTGGTGGGACCTGAGGCTCCACAGATGCCTGTGTGGTCCAGTAGCCCACAAGAGCAGTGGGCAGCCGTAGCCCGAGAGAGAAGGGTGCAATCCTGCTGCCAGCCTGCAGGAACTGCAGGGTGGGTGGGCACCGGAGAGGCCTGTGCGTCCAAGCAGGGACTTTGCAATCCAGTTACCCACAGGACCTGCGGGGTGCTGAACCACCAGAGAGGCTGGTGTGACCCAGCAGGGACTACACAATGTAGTTACTCACAGGGCCTGAGGGGTGCTGAAGCACCAGACAGGCCTGTGCGACCCAGCAGCCCATAACAGGCATAGAGTGAGTTCACCAAAGGGATGGTGCAATCCAGATACCTGAGGGACCTGCAGGGTGCGGGGGCACCAGAAAGGCCTCTGCAACTCAGCTGTGCACAAGATAGGCATAGAGGATGTGAAAATGGAGGCTGAGTGAATGGAAGCTACAGAGATGATCTCTCAGGACCAAACGGAAAATACAACTAAAATAAAGACAAATCCTCAAAAAAAAAGGAACAAAAAAGCAGCAGGACAGAACCATATAACCAGGGACACAGATAGCATCTGCAGAGGCAACAGAGGGTGGCAGGCTGGGAGCCCACGGACAGCAGCAGTCTTAGCTGTGAACAGCGCCCTTGGAAAATAAGGACCAAGCCCACTCCACAGCGCAGATGGTCAGGACAGAGCACTAAAATAGCCCCAGTCACTCACTTGAGAGCTACAGCAGTGGGAGGACAGACTGGGCAGGAACTCTGTGGGGACACCTGGGATTAGGAGGGCATTCATAGTTTTTGCTGAGTTATGGCCACAAAGAAAGGTGGCCAGTGTGCTCCTTCCCCAAGCTGTGGGGAAAAGAAGCAGCCCCCCTGCCGGAGATTCAGACTTTCCAAGCAGAGGAAAAGGCATGCAAATTAAGTCTCATTAATAACCAACATCTATCCCATCATCTGGAAATGTTCTTATGCAGAACACCAGGGCTACATTACAAGGCACTGAGTAACTGAGACTATTAGCCACCAGGAAAAAGCTAGAGGATAACTGAACCTTTCTTGGGATTGCAAATCTACCCAGGAAAGTAAGACTTGACAGTGGTGTTTAACGTGGGCCCACCCAGGCTCATCCAAACCCAGTAGAGATAGCCACAAACAGCAGAACAACAACACCCACAGAGTAATTTGACAGGCTCCAAAACCCACTGAGATAGCCAAAATGGTTAAACAAAGAAACAAATACCAAATGAAAGAACAACAGAACTCTATCAAAGATGAGATCAATGAAATGCAGCTAAGCAAATTATGAAATGTAGAGTTCAGAGCCATGATATTGAGAAAGCTCAACAGCATGAGTAAGGACATCAGCACCATAAGTAAGTATATAGAAACACTGAAAACCAACCAAGTGGAAATAAAGAATGACATAGTAGAAATTAAGAATACATTGGAATGACTAACCAGCAGAGTAGAGGAAGCTGAGGAACGAATCAATGAATTAGAAGATAGGGTAGAAAAAAATCAACCAATCAGAAAAACAGAAGGAAAAACCAATTAAAAAACAGGAAGATAGCTTAAGAGAACTGTGAGACAACTGGAAAAGTAATAATATTCACATCATAGAAGTCTCCAAAGAGGAAGAAAATGGGCAAGGGTTAGAAAATATATTTGAAGAAATAGTGACAGAAACCTTTCCTAACTTGGTGAAAAAAGAAGGCATTCAAGTTCAAGAAGCACAGAGAACCCCAAGTAAGAAGAACCCAAACAGGCCCACACCAAGAAACACAGTAATTAAAATGCCGAAAGTTAAAGACAAAGAGAGAATCCTAAAGGCAGGAAGAGATAAGCAACAGTTATCTACAAAGAAAACCCCATAAGGCTCTCAGATGACTTCTCAACAGAAACATGACAGGCCAGAAGGGAGTGGCATGAAGTAATCAAGGTCATGAAAAACAAGGATCTGAATCCAAGACTACTCTATCCAGCAAGGCTATCATTCAAAATAGAAGGTCAAGGAAAGAGCTTTCCAGAACAAAAAAAAAAAAAAAGTTAAGGGAAGATATTATCACCAAACCAGCACTGCAAGATACACTAAAAGGACAGCAGTAATTAGTAGAAGAAATAAGAAAAAGAAAATAACCACACTAAATATAAATGGCAAGAAATAAGTACATATCAATTATCACCTTAAATATGAATGGTTTGAACACTCTGACACAGAGTAGCTGACTAGATAAGAAAGCATGACTCACATATATGTTGCTTACAAGAGACTCACCTCACAACAAAAGACTCACATAGGTTAAAAGTGAAGGGATGGAAAACACTTTCAAGCAAACTGAAAGCAAAAAAAAAAAAAAAACCTGGGGTAGCAATACTCATATCTGATAAAGAAGATTTCAAAATGAAGGTCATAACCAGAGACAAAGAAGGCCACTACATAATACTGAAAGGATCTACCCAATAGAAAGTTATAACCTTGGTAAACATATTTATACATCTAATACAGGAGCACCAACATATATTAAAAATCTGTTGGAGGACTTCAAAGGAGAAAACAACAATACAATCATAGCAGAGGATTTCAACACCCTACTGACATCACTGGATAGGTCTTCTAAACAAAAAATTAACAAGAAAACAAAGACTCTAAACGAAGCGCTCGATCAAATGAATTCAATAGATATCTACAGAGAATTACACCCCAAAACTACAGAATTAACATTCTTCTCAAGTGCACATGGTACATTCTCAAAAAAAAAAAAAACACAAGTTAGGGCACAAGCTATGTCTCTACAAGTTCAAGAAGACTGAAATTATATCAAGCATCTTCTCACATCACAATGGCATGCAACTAGAAATCAAATGAAACAAGAACATGCAAAGACATTTGAAAACATGGAGGCTAAACAGCATGTTATTGAACAATGAGTGGGTTACCATGGAGATCAAGAAAGAAATTAATAACTTCCTAGAAACCAATGAAAATAAACTAACAACAACACAAAATCTATGGCAGTTCTGAGAGGGAAGTTCATAGGACTACTGGCCGACCTCAAGAAGCAAAAAAATTTCTAATAGACTATCTAACCTCACAACTTAAAGAACTAGAATGCAAATAGAAAGACAATCCCAGAGCAAGTAGAAGGAAGGAAATAGTAAAGATCAGAGCAGAAATAAATGACATGGAGACCAAAATAACAATTCAAAGGATCAATGAAACAAAGAGCTGGTTCTTTGAAAAAACAAACAAGATTGATTGACCCTCAGCTAGACTCACCAAGAAACAAAGAGAGAGAACCCAAATACACAAAATCAGAAATGAAAGAGAAGAAATAATTGACACCAAAGAAATACAAAGGATTGTTAACAAATATTATGAAAAATTACAAGGCAATGACAATCTAAGCGAAATGAACAAATTTCTAGAAACACATAGTCTTCCAAAACTGGACCGGGAAGAGACAGAAAACTTGAACAGACCAATAACAACAAAAGAAACTGAAGATGTTATTAAAACACTCCCCGTAAACAAAAGCCCGGGCCCAGAGGGCTTCACGGCGGGGGCGGGGGGGGGGGTTTACCAAACATTTGAAGAACAACTAATACCCATTCTCCTCAAACTATTTAAAAAGATTCAAAAAGAAGGAAGACTCCAAATTCATTTTATGAGGCCAGCATAATTCTAATTCCAAAACCAAAAAAGACACAGACAGAAAACTACAGGCCAATATCCCTGATGAATATAGATGCCAAGACGCTGAACAAAATACTAGCAAATGAAATCCAGCAATACATCAAAAAAATTATTCACCATGACCAAGTGAGATTCATCCCAGAGATGCAAGGTTGGTACAATATTTGAAAATCAATAAATGTGATACACCACATAAACTCCAGAGGACTTCAGAGGAGAAAATGACAGCAATAAAATCATAGCGAGGGATTTCAACACCCCTCTAACATCTCTGGACAGA